TCTGGGCAGGGCAAAAGAGCGGTACAGAAACCGCCCACGTCAGTGCACAGTACTGTAAACAAGAAAAGGTCGTTCGCTTGTTAGACATCAAGGTGTCGATCCCACACACAAACTAAGAATTCTATTTCATTCTAATTGCCATGTCTAAGAGTACGCAGTTAAAAAGAAATTATAAAAACAAACAGTCGTCATCAATGGACCAAAGAAACACTCACAAACTATCCTGGCAAACATTTCCAAGGGGTTCTTCTTCTTGCTTCTTGGGACTGCTCCTTGTACGGTAAGGGTGCCCAAAATAATCAACATCAGGACCAAACAAAGCTTCGCCTCCATAGCTTTCTTTTCTACGAAAAAGGAAAATACAGAAGCACTATTTGATGAGATCAGTCCCGACTTTTTTTGGAAATTGGGTTGACGGAGAATGGGGCCGGCGCTCTGTTTTATTCCTTATAGGCCTCGTGTAATTTATGCGTTTTTGTGCAGCACGCGTCTTTTGCATTATAAATGGCAATACACGCTAAGGCCCCGTCCATACTAAATCGGGTCCTAAGCAATCCTGACTGTTAAGTTACAGTGATTCTTGTGACCTATCAAAGTTAGAACTAAATCTTTCCTTTTTTAGCATCATGTAAGTGAAATGAAAAAAGGTCAAAAATTTACACATTTCAGTCCGTTTCATTGTGACGTTGAGAGTTCTCGGCCCATCCTCCTCGCACCTCCAACACTGTCTAACGAAATGAATTCACGAGACGAATGTTTACAAAAACGAACAGCTTCATCAAATTGCGCATCTCAAATTAAACTTCGGGGATGCAGCAGTTTTCACAACAATGTAAAATGATGACTGGAATATTCTTCAAATCTGCTATAACGATTTTATTTTTCAGTAATAAATACGTCCTTATAAATTCGTTGCCCTTCATTGGTCTAGAGTTTAAGCACTAACAAAAAGCAAAAAATAAAAAATATAGTAAACATTAAAACCTTTTAACGTAGGTTTCAGATATTTAGTCTGCTAATAAATGGTTTGATTCCTATCTAACCATCTAGAATATTTTAAGCCTCGCGGCTTTCTTTTGTTCTACGAAGAGCAAAAGGAAGAATTTTGAAAAACAAGAAGAACCTATTTCTTCCAGTTGCCTGGGGCTGGTGCATGGAATCACAAGGAAATATCATGATAACATCAAGCTGCTAACGATGTACTGAATAACAAACAACAAAACTTACCACGCTTGAGTCTTCTCTTTAGATATCTTCCTTCGAACGGTCAGTCTTCCGCTATAAGCGAACCTTCCTCACACGCTAGCTCTCTTTGGAGAACTGAATGTTATATGTGACTTTGCCTCCTTTTAAGAAGTCCTGAGCATGGAAGAAATAATTTTGAAACTGACAGCTGTCATTGGAAAAAGAGTATAATTGAAGCTCATGTCACAGCGGCTTGGACTTCCTTGCACATGTAAACCTTGCAAAGAGCGCATGCCCAACTGCATTTGTCTAGGGTGGGTCTCTAAATGTTTACTTAATGAAAAAATTTCGCCGAGGGAGAAAAACTGGAAATTCGTCACGATAGAAGACATTCTAAGAAACGTAAAACCAACCAGAAAGAGTGTCCTGACTAACAAACATTTTTGTCCTTCCAAAGTCAAGTTTAAGGCTAATGCTGAGCAGAAAAATTACGATCAAAGACCACGATTTTAAACAAAAGAAGACAAAAGGGCACCAATTGGGGTCCACTAGGCAAGTTTGTCATGTGTTTCTTAGGAAATATCCCTTCATTCCAGAAATTTCTTAATTAAACTTGATCGACGCAAAATGTTATCGAAATTGCGCTCAATTCTCTGCTATTGTTTAGTGGTAATAACTAATTTTAACCTAGCAATCGATTTGTTAATTTAAATAAATTGAAAACTGGCGTGAACAAATTGGTCTTCAGGTAAAAGACATCGCTTGACAGTAAGTTTCGTTCCATGAATAACAACGTATCTTCCACCAAGGTGTTTAATTAGTTTTGTTTGCAGATTCTGACGTTAGAAAGATATCAGTTTGAGCTGTTAGCCTGTGTGTCCCTCCAATGCTTAATAATTGAATATTTCTCACATGAAATGATAAACTATCACTGATATAACTGGTTACCTAAAATAACCATACTCAGCTATTTTGTTTCTTGGGAGCAAAATGGTTGTTTCTTAACCTTTCCTAATTCGAACTATTTGTTGTGCTGTGTTTCATACCCAGACCCTACCCAACTTCAAATGGCTTTTTTTCATAAACCACCTCAAAACTATCTCAATCTTTACATCTTTACAATCTTTCATCGTTTTTGGCTCACATACGTACAATCTCGAGTTCTTCAAGAATGCTCAAATAGTTTTCAATTACAGATGAAATTAACAAGATCATTTATTTATACTCATTTGAATACATTTTCGNAATCGATTTGTTGATTTAAATAAATTGAAAACTGGCGTGAACAAATTGGCCTTTAGGTAAAAGACATCGCTTGACAGTAAGTTTCGTTCCAAGAATAACAACGTAACTTCCACCAAGGTATTTAATTAGTTTTGTTTGCAGATTCTGACATTAGAAAGACATCAGTTTGAGCTGTTAGCCTGTGTGTCCCTCCAATGCTTAATAACTGAATATTTCTCACATGAAATGATAACCTATCACTGATATAACTGGTTACCTAAAATAACCATACCTGGTTATTTTGTTTCTTGGAAATGGTTTGTTTCTTGAAAGCAAAATGGTTGTTTCTTAACCTTTCCTAATTCGAACTATTTGTTGTGCTGTGTTTCATACCCAGACCCTACCCAACTTCAAATGGCTTTTTTTCATAAACCACCTCAAAACTATCTCACTCTTTACATCTTTACAATCTTTCATCGTTTTTGGCTCACATACGTACGATCTCGAGTTCTTCAAGAATGTTCAAATAGTTTTCAATAACAGCTGAAATTAACAAGATCCTTTATTTATACTCATTTGAATACATTTTCGCTCCATCCGAAGACATTGTAGCAAATTAACCGGCGTTATGTCGCATGATCAGGAGCAATGTTTGCGTATTAAATTAGTGTTTTCGAAAGGTTTTCATATCATATTTGTTTTTCGAATAGTAAACGAAACCTACGTTCTACAACTAGGCGAATAAGATTGTCGAGGCTTCGAACTTGTACGTAGCTAGCTACGTATTTGTAGATTTTAATAAAAACACACGCAGTATTCCGGAAGTCGTAATCCGGCCGTTTCTCACTGACCATTCCGAATACAGAATAGTTTTGTTCTTTGAGCTTCGTCTTTGAGGAGCGAAATATATCTAAATCACAGACTTAGAATGGATCAAGCACTCATAAATATGTGAGGAAAGTCAAACAAACGATTAAGATTCGACTCTGTAGTTACCGAAGGAGATTGTCGTGCTGAAAGAAGAATGCGCTTGTCAGTCAACTGAAACGCAAACTATTAAGTCGAGGAAACCCAGGTTATTAGCATACGTAAAATGAACATTTCATTGAAAA